TTATTTGCAGCCTCTGATACACCACTATGGCTTATTGCAGAACCATCAAGTTGTAAAAGAGTATCTAATAAAAATTTAAGGTCTAAACCGACTTCTCGTAACTAATGAGAAAAACACATTAGAAATACGTATCAATTATAGTAAGAAACGCGAAAATTCAAAGTACCATTAAACAATGATCTCTAGCATATTTCAAGCATCTTTGCACTACTTTATCGTCACGATTGTGAATACTGTATACTTGACGTTGGAATAAGGTTGCGTAATGTTCCATTTCTTCTTTTGCCCATTTAACAAAACCTTTTAAAAATATTAACCTTAAAACATTATTCTAAATTAATCTTGAATTAACTATAAAATATTACCTGATGTCATTTTTATGTCTTTAAATGCAGCATTATACCAATCACAAGTATTTTTAATCAAAGTAAAGTATACTAGTGACAATTCATTGATGTATTGTGGTATGTCGCCCTCAAATTTCAACTGCCTAAATTTGAGTACGATAATGTGTTAATTAATAAAGAATGTCAAATTCACTGTCACAATACTTACTTTGTCCTTATTCGAATATTATTTGTTCTCGCAGACAGAAATAATTCTCGGGCCTAAAAAGGTTGAAATTTTTAATGTATCCCAAAAAAAAATTACAAACTTATTATTTTATATTAAACGTTAACTACTTGTTCACCATAGCCAAGGCGTAATAGCCATTTTACACATTTTTGTACTTGAGTCTTTTTCACATTAGGGTTAGTTAAATCTCGACTAATTGCATATGAAAGTCTCACCACTCTATCCTCCATTTTTACTCGGATAGAGTCCAATTTAGTAACATCGGTAGATATATTAGTTAATGCAGCTTTAGCTTTAAATCAAAAAACTATTAATATTTAGAATAAAGACGTTTTTTTACTGCATGACAATATTTATGAATAAATTTCAAAATTTCAATACCTTTTTCAATACTTTCTACAGCTTCATCAAACTCTTTTGTAGCAATGTATACAACTAATTGGTCTGCCAAATCCTCGATTTCACGCAAGTCATTAAATGAAAGTTCTCTAGGGGATTTTGTAGTTATTTTTAAGCCGGGGCTTTTTTGGCTACGTAATGATGATGTTAAAGCGTTACGACTTTTCCGCGAAAGGGATCTTATAAGTGGAGTAAGTTGTTGTTGACTGTTTTGCTATTAATTAGAAGATATAGACAGTTAGATCAAATAATTTCGGCAGAGCATTAATCCATTACGGATTATAACACTTACAGCATTAATTACCAAATCTATGTAAATTTGAACAACCAATAGACAGTTAACCGAGGGTTAGATGTTTTTATTAGGTCAAATAAAAAAGTACACTCACCGGCATGCTTTGCAGCTTTAGCTGACATCGTCTCATCTGTAGCACGTTTAGTCATGTTAATCAAATTTTTCTTTTCTTCAGCAGTACTACTTTGAAAAATAAATTGATCCGTTGGATGTTTCAAGATTTTGATAAAATTCATACATCCTTATATAGTA